AGTAGTGTGCCTCGAGGAAAAAGCTTTGAACTGGTACCAATGGGTGGAATCACGAACAACCATTCGCGGGTGGCAGGAATTCAAAAGTGAGGCCTTACGGAGATTTCATCCTTCACAGCTTGGGGATGAATATGAGATGTTATATGCTGCCCGACAGAGCCGTTCTGCTCTAGAATTTTTAGAAGAGTTTGAGCGTCTCGCAGCACCCCTAAAGGATGAGTCGGAGGAGAGTCTGATTGGCGCTTTTCGTGTAGCATTGAAGCCCGACATATGAGCGGAACTCCGTCTCACCGGCGCTTCCTCACTACGCGATGTGATGGAGATGGCGATCAAAGTAGAGGAGAGGAATGCGGTAGTCGAGTCCGCGAGGGAAATTCGGGCAACCCATTTTCAACAGCACCTCAATGGGCCCAAGCTGGATCCGGCCCAACCACAATATTCCAGGGTCACCCACTTACCCGAAACGCACAAGCTGGCGTCATTCTCTCTTGCTCTCCCAAACGCTGCGAAGGAATCCGAATGGAAGGGGAGTGAGTCGAAAGGGAGTCTCTCTTCGGTGGCTTCTAGCTCAACGGCAAGAAAAGGAGTGATGGGTCGAAGGCTGTCCGATGCTGAACTTACTCGGCGGAGGGAGTTGGGACTCTGTTTTAAATGCGCCGAAAAATTTGGTCCCAACCACACCTACAAGAATAAAAATTTGCAAGTAATGATTCTGGATATGGGGGCCGAAAGGAATGAAGAGGAGAGAGTCGAGTCGGAAAAGGAGGAAGAGATCATCTAAGTGGAAGAAGGAGGCAACATGACTATGGAGTTGTCCCTCAATTCCATTACAGGCTTTGGCAACAATCACACAATGAAAGTAAGGGGTCGGTTGGCCGATGAGGAGGTTGTCATTTTGATCGATAGTGGAGCCACCCACAACTTTGTTGCAGAGGAATTAGTGAGCCGAATGGGCATTGAAGTGGACGAGGTAGCCGAGTACACTGTGGTAGTGGGAGATGGTCATCGACTTAGGAGGAAACAAAGATGCCTGACGATTCATCTTGTGGTGCAGGGTCTAGAAATGAACCAAACCTTCTACCCGTTTCCTTTAAGCGGAGTAGACATGGTATTGGGGGTTGAATGGCTGAAGTCCCTAAGAGATGTGAATGTTAACTGGAGCCTCCTAACCATGAAGATTGGGGAATCAGGGAATCGAGTATGTTTGCAAGGGGACCCAACATTGACAAAGAATCAAGTGACTCTTAAATCATTAGCTCGATTAATGAGAAAGAAAGAGGAGGTATATCTGGTGGAGTATAACGGTACTGTAACTAAAGATGCAGGAACAGAGGAGTTGACTCCGGAAATACAGACCTTACTAAATCAATTTCCTACAGTGTGCCAGACTATTGAAGGGTTACCCCCTTCCCGTTCTAAAGACCACGCCAATGTGATCAAACCAAGAGAACAACCCCCAAATATTCGACCCTATCGATATCCCCATCTACAGAAAAATGAAATAGAAAAGATGGTAAGAGACATGCTGAAGGCAGGAATCATACAACCAAGCAACAGCCCCTACTCTAGTCCAGTTTTGCTGGTTAAGAAAAAAAGAAGGAAGTTGGCGTTTTTGCGTGGATTACAGAGCGTTGAACAAAATCATAGTGCCCGACAAGTTTCCCATTCCTGCAATCGACGAGCTGTTAGATGAGCTTAAGGGAGCAAAAGTATTTTCCAAGCTGGATTTGAAATTAGGATATCATCAAATCCGAATTAAAACTGGTGATGAGCACAAAACAGCTTTCAGAACACATGAGGGCCATTATGAATTCAAGGTGATGCCATTTGGCCTGACCAACGCACCCTCCACCTTCCGATCACTAATGAACGAGGTGTTCCAGGAGTATTTACATAAGTTTGTCCTAGTGTTTTTTGATGACATTCTTATTTATAGTGCTGATTTTTCTGATCATTTGAGACATTTGGAGGCTGTGCTAACCTGTTTAAAGAGGAACCAGCTGGTCATAAATTTAAAAAAATGCAGTTTTATGCAACCCCGGATTGAATATCTTGGCCACATCATCTCAAAAGAAGGGGTGCAGGCTGACCCTTCAAAGATTGAAAGCATGGTGCAATGGCCTAGGCCCAAGAATGTGCGGTCCTTGCGGGGATTCCTAGGGCTCACCGGATACTACCGGCGATTTGTGAAGAATTATGGGAAGATAGCCAGCCCGCTTACCGATTTATTAAAAAAAGATGCTTTTAAATGGACCCCGGAAGCTAACACAGCATTTGAGGAACTCAAGACCACCATGACAACACTTCCGGTGTTAGCAATGCCAGATTTTTCACTTCCGTTTGAACTGGAAACCAATGCTTCGGGAACCAGTGTCGGGGCGGTGTTAATGCTAAAAGGGAAACCAATGGCGTATTACAGCCAAAAGCTATCTAATCGAGCTCAGCAGTGTTCGGTATATGAAAGGGAGTTAATGGCCATTGTCATGGCAGTAAAAAAATGGCGTCCCTATCTCTAGAGGCATAAATTTGTGATCAGAACTGATCAAAAGGCTCTAAAGTACCTGCTGGAACAGAGAATTGTAGAGGAGAACCAGCAGAAGTGGGTCTCCAAATTAATGGGGTTTAAGTTCGAAATACTCTACAAACCGGGCAAAGAAAACAGAGCTGCTGATGCCCTATCCAGGCAAGATGAATCTGCAGAAATGATGGGATTTTCCATGTGGCAGTATGATGAAATCGAAGAATGGAAAAAGAGGTGCAATCTGATCCAAAACTAGCATCAATCTTACAGTAATTAATCATTAAACCGGGGGAGTCGAAGGATACAGCATGGAGAAAGGCTGTTTGCATTATAAAGGGAGGCTAGTACTACCAAAAAATTCATCAAAAATTCCTTTGCTCCTTAAGGAATATCATGATTCTCCAATTGGGGGCCATTCTGGTTACCTTAGGACTTATAAAAGATTGTGCAGTGTAGTGTATTGGGAAGGGATGAAGAAGGATATCCAACTCTATGTAGCTCAATGTGATGTGTGTCAGAAGAATAAGCATCAAGCTCTCTCTCTGGCCAGGTTGTTACAACCTTTGCCAATTCCACAAGGCATTTGGCAAGATATCAGCATGGATTTTATTACCGGGCTCCCTAAGTCTAAGAGGTATGATGTTATATTGGTTGTGGTGGACCGACTTTCGAAAGATGCCCATTTTCTGCCATTGACTCACCCCTTTTCAGCTAAAGATGTAGCTGAAAAATTTGTGACAGAAATTGTTAAATTGCATGGTTTCCCTAAGACAATTATATCTGATAGAGACAGAATTTTTGTGAGCCAATTTTGGCAGGAATTGTTTAAGCAGGCCGGAACTCAGCTGCGTCTTAGCTAAGCTTACCACCCGAAGACTGATGGGCAAACCGAAGCAGTGAATCGTGGGCTAGAAACTTATTTACGCTGTTCTACTAGCAAAAAACCCACTCATTGGGTCCAGTGGTTACCATGGGCTGAATATTGGTATAATACATCCCAGCAAACATGACCCCATTTAAGGCTGTCTATGGTAGAGACCCCCCTACTTTTCTCAAGCTGATTGATGAGCCATCCACTTTGGAAGCTGTTAATGAACAAATTCGAACCAGCAATCAGATCATCGCTACCCTAAAAGAGAATCTAAACCGAGCTCAAAGCAAGATGAAGGAGCAAGCAGACAAACATAGAAGGGCAGCCCATTTTCAGGTTGGCAACCAGGTTTATGTTAAGCTCAGACCCTACAGACTTATATCCTTGGCCCGCCGGATAAATGAGAAATTAAGCCCTCGCTTCTATGGCCCTTTCAAGATCCTAGAAAAGATAGGGACTGTTGCTTATCGGCTGGAACTGCCACCCACGGCCAGAATTCACCCTGTCTTCCACATTTCCAATCTAAAAAAATCGGTGCACACAGCTCCTGTGACACCTACATTCCCTCCTATTCTATCCGAGGAGCTGGAACTCCAAGTGCAACCCCAAGACATCTGCATGGTCAGAAAGCTTACTAATGGTGAGTTAGAAGTGTTGGTACACTGGAAGGATCTACCAGAATTTGAAAATTCCTGGGAGAAGGCTGCCACAATTGCCACACAATTTCCTCATTTTCCCCTTGAGGACAAGGTGAAGCTTGTAAGGATGAGAAATGATATAGCTGCTATTACCGCTGGTTTTGAAAAGACTTACAGGAGGAAATTTTGTAAACAACCAAGGGATTATTCTAGAGTTCCAGAAAATGGGGAACAACTCTACTGTGCAACCAACTACTAATATTTTGAGTCTAAGTCCTACAGCTGGGGGTAGGACTACTTTTGGGAAATATAATGCTTGTAATGAGAGAAGGGGGGAAGTTTTGAGTTTTGGGACCGAACTGTAAGGAGAGGCCTGGCCTCTCGAAAGCCACGGGGGGGTTGCTGAGTTAGTGTATTATCATTGTATTTCCCGTGTCTTTTGTTGTTAGTGTGACCGTGATATTTTTGGGTATTAAGGGAAATAGGGCTTTGGCTTGAATCCGGGAAGCTCACTGTATCTTCGATTCAATTCTGGAATATCAATATCAAAGCCTAAGGATTTTCCTCATTTATTGCTGTTCAGTATCTTTATTGCTGGGTTTGTTTTTCTGGTTTGTTGAGCATTTGAACAGGGTCGTATCAGACCCACACTAATTTCACATTGAAAACAAGAAAAAGAATCACCCAACAATGCAATTTCAGTTAATCTAGTATTTCTTTCAATGGCATCTGATCAAGGGAGTAAAGTTGAAGATTCCAGAATTCTTCAAAGAAAAGCCTTTGAAAGGCAAAACTCTTTTAGTTTTGTTTTACCAAATTAATGTGAAATTCGAGGATCAATGGTGCAACTTGGTTCATCAAATTCCAAATAATAACTAAAGCCCCAGCAGCATAACATCCAAACATAAATTAGCAAACATGCTTTGAAAGTGCATGTTGAAAGTTAAAGAAGACAATACTGAAAGCAAACCTTGGCTTGGCGAAGTTCATAAATCTCCAAGAATAATTGCTTTGAAAGCTCCTCTAAAGCTTGTACTTCTGCTTCCATGCCTTTGATATCTTCACACATAACAAAATTATAAGAAATCACAGGGTAATACATATTACTGGGCCCACGATTTCTATACAATAAACTACAACCAGGAGCTCCTTTCTGATGACAAAGGATTTATTCTATACAGTAAGCAACCAAACAGAGTATGCAGTATCAGAATGAGTCACAACAAGATAGTTTAATTTTCCCGCTAGTCTTCTATACTTCTCAAATTCTTCAATGGCCCATCATCAATGATGGGCCAGGTAACTAAAACATAAGATGCACCATCATGTACTAATGAATAGGGTATTATAAATGATTTTAAGTCTTAAATAGCAACGAAAGGTAATTATATGACTTTCAAAAACAAAAAAAAACCCAAAAAAAAAAAATCTGTTGTGCTAAAGTTATGAAAACCATGACTTGGTCATAGTCTAATTGCAAGCTGTCAACAACAGTAATTGTCTGCAACACTGGTTTCCCGTAATATAGATTTAAAAGAGGAAAGCTTCAAAATGTCATTTTAAGAGTGAAAAACACCGACCTTGCTCCTTTTGATCCTCCTGCACAGATCGAATGACTGTGCCAACTATACGTTTTACAAAGGATCTGGCATTTAACTTCTGCTACAAACAATTTTAGATCAGTTACAAGGAATGAGATTAAAAGAAACGGAATTAATAAAGGTTTTCAAACAGAGACTACAATTGAAGTGGGGGAGGAAAAAAACATTTGAAACCTCAATAGTTGACCTAAAAAAACTAGAACAGAAACTTGATGCTAATATAAACCTCCTCAGATCCTTGGCTGCTCTCCATCTCCATCTGACAAAGTATAATTTTCTTTTTCTTTGAAATACAAGTCTCAATTGACTGCATCAGTTGTCTCTCCAAGCCTTTAATCTCTGCTTCCTCAATCTCTCTAATTAATAGAAATGTGTTATATCAATAAGCAAATGAACATATAATAATTAACAATAGCATAATACATGGTGAATCTGTGAATCTTACTACTTTTCTATGAAGAGAACTTGTAATAGTTAAAGAGAGCACAAAATATCCTCTAACATCTAACATGCTAAGAATGATTATGGTGATGATTGGGTTTAGAAGCCCTCGAAAATACAGAAAAATCAGAAAGACATTTCTTTGAATATTCAGACGAGAGATACCATGATGCGTAAGCAGTAATAAATATAAGAATATAGGTAGTTAAGTCTGTTGGGATATGAGTCTATTACTTATAATACACACACAAGTCTGTCAGGTATGGGACAGAACCCATATAAGGGAAAGCTGTAGCTAAGGTTCTCATGCTTAATCTGATTGTCAAGAGTATTATTCAGTGAAACTCTCTCTCTCTCTCTCTCTCTCTCTCTCTTCTCTTCTCTTTGCTTCTCTTCTCCTCTTCATCTCTCCTCGTCTTCCTATTCTTTCCAATTCTTTCCCTGACTTTTTGACAATAGCACATCATACCACTGACCGAATTATGAGCCCATAAACCAAATGGAGAAATGCAGATAACGATAGTAACAGGATGGGACAAGTCTGAAACCAAAACATCTCAATAAATTGGTTCGATTATATACTGAAGCTGATTTTGCTTAATAAAATAAGAATTCACTAGGAGGAATAAGGAAAAACATACACATAAAACGAGAAATTAAGTAATTACCTGATAAAAGTGATAAATAACTGTAGGGCAAGTTCACAGCACCGAAACCAGACAGAACAGCCATAACTGTAACACCAATCACCCCAATTCTACTGACCAGTTGGGGCATAGTGAAGAAACCTAACAAGTAACAACTAGAAATGATCAGCAATATTTCAAAGTTTTTATGATGATCCAACAAGGAATAAGAAAGTGAGAGACTGTGCAGAGACATAATGCTGATGGAGTAAGCAAGCACCTTTATCAGGTGATGGCATTGGAAAGTGAATGCCCATGCGCCAAAAGGCATACAGAAAAGCCAGCAAGAATAATATAGCTCCAAGTGCTGCCCGTTCCTTCCTTACACCTGAAAATTAAATAAAGGCATACTCATGGACAACAAAGTCCCTCTTAAAGAGCTTATAAGTAGCATTCCATTGCTCAAATGCTACAGCTCACAAACCATAGGTACCTATACAATTAACTCCGCTATTATCTTGCATATGAAAGAAAGAAGAAATTATAAAAACAAACAGGAAGAGGTACAGAACTACAGATCCCTGCCCCGGCCCCGGAAGAGGGGGCTCCTATTAAAAAATAACATGGGGAAAAAGCAAAAAGCAAAAGCCACAGGTACCATCACCAAAGTACATAATAATAGTAAACCTCTGCCATTTCTGTAGAGTGATTCCCTTGAAAACCTTGATAGCAGAGCATCTTAAGGATGCATTACAACAAAGGGAAATGAAATGAGACATGCTTCAATTCAGCCCTCCTAGACATTAAAATGGAAATGCCATAAGGATTTTCTCTCAACTCGACAATATTCCATCTTGTTATAGTGTTTAGCAGGGAGAGCCTAATAAATCTACCAAAATGTTGCAACAGTCAATAACATAACTACTTCATGCAAACTGATTAAAATAAGATAAAAAGAAAATTTTTTGAAGCACCTGGTTATATTGAAGGGATCTTTTATTTTTTTGGGTGGTGTTAAAGATTATCATTAAAAAAATTAGAAAATGACATATCCAAGAAAATCCAAGGACTGAAATAAACATGTGAAATGTCCCGGAAAAAAAAATCCAAAACTATCCTATCGGAGCAATTAGAAAGTGAAAAGAATTTGATAGTTCCAACAGGAACTTATCAGAAATGCCACTACCTCTAAGTTCTTAATAAAATGAAGAGTCCAAGAAAGATAGGAACGTGGCTGAATTAAAAAGTTAGGATAGAACATGATGAATGGAAGAAAGCCAGTATCAATAAGGATGAAGACATCAAAAACTGGTCACTTGCCTAATCAAGCAATGTCCAGAAAGAGTAAAGTTCACACAAAACCAATTGAAGGAAAGAAACAGCCATCTAATGGACAGGCAATTGCGATAAGCTTATGTAACTAGTAGTTGAGCATGGCAACCAAAAGTCTAACATATATTGTACAGTAGCAGAAAACTTTATCTCTTACTGAATTGATTCTTTTAATACATAACTAGAACTTGGATGGGTGCCATCAACAATACTTTTAGGAGTTCTACGTTTTAACGTATTACAGGTGGTGAAAATTCAAACCACCATCTTTCATAGTATCAGAGGACTACATACATATCAGTAAAGAAAGTGAAGTTTGGCTTACCACTGTTGCAGAGCATCAAGTAGCAATGATAATAGGGCAGCATGAAGACCAGTAATAAGATCAAACAGAAAAAGTCCACCTTCCAGTTCACAACTCTAGCCCTACATTCATAAAGAAATTCAAATTCCATTAGATCGTGGAAATTTTATTGTCATATATCATTTTCAGCAAATCAAGCCTATACAGCAAGGCCGATATGACCAGCTAATGAAAGTTAACCGATGAGCAGCTGAGTAATAGTATCTCAGCTCCTCAATCTTATCTAATTTCTTAGAATCAAAGACCTATCTACTAGCCGTTGCAATCATATCCCCAAATCTGCTATCATTTCCTTCTCTAGGACCTAGAATCTCGGTCAATAATTGTGAGAGATTATCTGTAATCAATCCTATTTAATGGAATCAGATTTCTCGCTATCTTGAAAAGGAAATCTGATTCCCATACATGTACTCTTCTTACCTTCAGAAATATACATAGAATTCAAATACATTTTCCCTTCCGATACAATTAACAAAAGGGTACACATGCAGGGCACTTAATACCCAAGATAAACTAGGAAAATCTAAACAAGTCAGAAATAATTATTACATCTAATCTGATTTACTTCCATTTAGATATAAAAAAATACATTTAGATAATAAAGTGCTTAAACTAAGAAACTATTGGTCTGTATCTCTGGGCCTTAGAGCCCTAATTCCAACACTCCCCCTCAAGTTGGTGAGTAGACGTCCGTGATTCCCGACTTGCTTATCAGCTCTTCACTAGAATATCAGTTGTTTGCGGACTGCAGGGTGTGTATATCACTTCAATCACCTTGGTATCAAGATTTGTTTACATAGGCTAGAAACAAGGTTGTCATCATTATTTTCACACAATAATGTCCTGAACGAGACGAATGCTGGGAGATCTCTGGTTATGATAGTAGAAATCCAAGGGTAACTAATTAGGTGAGCAAGAAATACCAGCATGAAAGGAAAAATGAAAGGCAATCCACAGTTAGAGTAGGATGACACAGTCCCGTACAACAAGCATCTCCCATTGCTCCAACGTCAATGAAATGAGACGGCGGAGTTATACATAGAAACTTATTACAATATTCAAAAGAACACCCGATTTGAGCCAAATGTGAATCCATTGGACGCAATAGGGAGTGAAATCGCTTGTGTATTTTCTATAGTTGTCTAAGTATGCGAGGCCTAAAAGAAAATTAGCGTCCTAACTCTCGCTTGCATGTGCATCCAATATCGTCTCTTTAGCTAACAAACATTTGATCCGATGAAAGTAAAGCTAGAGATGAAGAAGAAGCATAAATCTCAGAATTCTTGAAATGGGCAGATTCTAAAAGTGAACCAAAAGTGTTATTTGAGAAGCTTACTCTTTGGAAAGGATGGGAATGATCTCAAAGAGGACAAGCTGGAGGAGATTGCAGGAGAAGGCGAAGACGACGCTGAAAATGATCTGCACCAGCGCTCGTTTCTCTTCGTACTCTTTGTAGAGACGACGGTTCAAGAACCAGAGACCAGCCCAACCAAGTAAACAAAGAGATCCCAGCACCACGGCTCCTTCATACATTGCCCTTCCCCAACCCATCTTCGGTAGTTTTTGAGTCTCGTGCGGTTTGGATTCAGCAACTACTCTCAGATTCTAATCAAAAGCGACTGTCAGAGGAGTAAGCTCTTGGAGCTTCAAAGTCGAAAGCACTGGGACTTCGATTTGGGAGGTATGCGAGAAGAATGATTCATCCATTCATTGGATTAATTCAACCATTGCCCCAGGACCTCGGGGAGAACTGGCAATGAGACTAAAACAACCCGAGCTAGGCTTCTCTCCTTTTCCTTTTCTCTCCGCTGCGGTCCGCTGCCCTCTTCTGTTTTTGCCCCCTTGCTTTCTCAACCCCCCACCAAGCCTTACCATGTTGCTTCTTCCTCCCACTTTGTCCTTAAAACGCCTCGTCTATGCTCCCAAGACGAGATAACAAAACCCGGGAAAAAAAATTAAAGAAAAGAAAAGGTGGACACACATATCTTTGTTTCTATGATCTTGATATAATTGATTTTATTGTTTTTTGACCAAAAATTGATTTTATATATTGTTGACTCTTATCAGTTTTTCTCAATCATAAATATTAATCCCTATAATCTATTATCTATTAATGATGACTAATGTAAAGATGGATTATACAACATATAAATTGTCAAAAAAAATACCAAATATAAAAAATATTACTACTTATAGTCTTTGATATAAAAACTAAATAACTAGTTTGCAAATATTAAGAAAATTAATTAAGTTATTTTTTTAGTAGAATTAGTTAAGTTAGTTATTTGTAATAAATAAATATTGTTCGTCCCAAAATACTCTTGTTAGTAAGGGTGAAAATAGGCCAGGCCTGTTTTGTAGCCTATCGGTCTGAGCCTGGCTTGTGGCATGTTACAAGCTTATTCTTTAACTTGAGCCTGACTTGAAACCTGTTAAAAAGTCTATATTTTTAAAAAATTCAAATTACAGTTATATTTTTTAAAAAAAGGCTAAGATTAAAAAAAATGCATAATAATTAATTTTTTAGTCTTGTCTTTTATTTAAATTTTACTATCATAAGTACTATTTTAAATCTTAATTACAATTTACAAGGATATTATTGAAAACTAGTTGTAACTATATGTTAAAATTTGGAACAAGACTACGTTCAAGTACATACAAAAAAATTAAAATTAAGACAAATAAATAAAGAGAAAAAAACTATGAATTTTACAATGAATAAAGAGGATATCATAATTTAAGCAAAATTATATTTATATCTTCACTAGTCAACTAAACTTTAAAATAGTACCATTAACTAATTTTTTCATATATTATAATTATAAATTTTTAAAAGACTCGGGCCAGTCTAAACCTTGCCTATTCAGTTAAACAGCCCTTCAAACAAGTTTGAACCTGTTTCTTTTGAAAAACAAGCCAGGCCAAATATAGGTTAGGCCATAGGCCCCTGAAAAGTTACTTGGTCTATTTCTACCCGTACTTGTTAATCATGTGTATTAGAATGGAAACCTTTTAATATGTGCAATCATAATATGGACTACTTTGGGTTATTTAAAATTATAAAAAGGTTAAATTGAATTTGAATGATTCAAGACTTTGGATGGTCTAGATTAAGATAAACATAATATTACATCTGGTTCTAAGTATAAGAGCTAGTCGGAGATTTAATTTAATTCTAAATATAAGATACCAATTTACTTTGTGACATGTATTTATTCATTTTTTTTTAAGTAGTTCCTATTACGACTGTATATGTTAAGGGGTTTTTATTTTAATGCACATTATTAACAAGGACCGAAAAGTAGTAATATTTTTTAGATTCAATTGTTTTTTGGTAACTTATATGTTGAGCAATCCATGTTTGCATTATAATTAATAGATCATGAGTATAGGATATTTATGATTGAGAAAAACCGACAAAAGTTAACAATAAAACCAAGTGTACCAAGATCAAGATGATAGAAATAAGAGTAAAATACCCTTCTAGTTTGCATCAATTGCAAATATCTCCTCTCTATTTTAAAAACATACAGTTTAGTCTAATTATTTAACATCATTAGGAATATTTTAAAAATATTCTAAAAATATTATTTTTGACTGAAATTTAATATTAAAATAAATTTTATTTACAATTTTATCCCTTATTCTAATAAATTTTTAAATTATATTTTTACAGTTACATCAATTTCATTCTATTAAGATAAACATCAAAGATTAAATTAAAAATTTAACTAATTTTTTAATAAACATATATACTTGACTAAATATGTTTGTAAATTTTTGTAAGAAAGATGTATTTAAAAGTTGAGAATTATAAATTTAAATAATTGATAAAATCTTTTAAATTTGTATCATTTAAACTTTGTGATAAACAAAAACTATGTATTTGAAATATGTTTTTACAATTTAAAAAAATCAAAATAAATAATTTCTAATAAATGTGATAAAATATTAAAATTATAAAATTTTATGATTTAGATCAAAATTAATAAATTTATAACATATTAGAAATTTTAAAAATAATTATTTTTATTTTATAAAAATATTTTGTGGAAAATATAAATGTCTAAATAATTATTAAGTTAAAATGAGGTATTTTGGTCAAAAAAATAATTTAAAATCAAATTTAACAGTTAATTAACAGTTTGGGTAGATGAAAATAAAATCTTAAACATAGAAGGAAGGTTTATATAACATATATTTTAACTGTAAAGGAGGTTTATATATGTTTTTTAAAAAAAGGAAAGGTTTCTGTAATTGAAAAAAATAATAGGTAATCAGTGTATTTTACTCTAGAAATAAAGATGCGCATGTGGGTATACTTTTTTTTTTTTTGGGTTTTGTTATTTTGTCCCAGGAGTATAGTCACAGATGAGGTGTTTAAATCAAGGAGAAAAAAAAGGAAGATGCAACGTGGCAAGGCGTAGTGGAGAGTTGAGAAAGAAAGAAAATTTAGAGGGGGGAAGAAAAGGAGAAAAGCCCAGCCCAAACAGCCCGCAACAAGAAAGTGGCAATACAGTAAAAATGGTGCTACTTTGCGTATGGGTTCAACTTTATCATTCATCAAACCAAAACAAATAGCTTTGGCCAAAAAAAAAAAAACCAAAACAAATAGCCTGCAACTGTAACACTTATTTTGGTTGTCTACTTTTATTCTGGTAAGGTCGTTTTGGTTATTGCTGGTCAAAAAAAAGGTCGTTTTGGTTATTGCTCGTTAAAAAAAAAAAAAAGTCGTTGGGGTTATTTACTTTTTCAGTGTATTGATATATTGACCCCTTCGCCCTGAGGATGAAGCAAACTCCCCATCGTCCCCGGCTCCCCATTATGTGTTTTCCCCTCTCATCAAATGGCATTTATTTATCGATGTTAAATTAACAATTATTAATTATGATAATTAATAGGAAAAACTAATATGGAGGTCCTCATAGTTTATTTTAATTTTTAATTAGGTCCTTGGAAATTTTCTTTTTATTAGGTCTTTTAAGTTTTCACCGTTAAACTAGTTAGTCCCTCTTGTTTAAAGCTGTTAAATCAAAACTAACACAGTCAAAAATTCCGCTAGAAAGGGTTGAGGTGGTAACAACCACAAAAACCTTTGACAGCTAGACTGTGACTAAGCATTCATTGAGTTCCATCGTCTTCTCTAGCCAAGCGAGATTCATTGTATTTAGTTATACGCTCTCTGCTAGGGCCTCTCTCTCTTGAATGCTTGTGTGCTCTCTCTCTTGAATGTTTGTGTGCTCTTTCTTTTTGTATTCAATTCTACTCTCTCTCTCTCTTCCTGTCTTCTGTGATTGTGTTCAATTCATGCTCTCCGCTTGTGCACTCTCCCGCCATAGTTTATCTTTTGGTGTGCTTCAGTCCCAAACTCTTTTCTAGCCTCAAGGTGTATAGGTGAATTTGTATTTAGTTCTCGAAAAATGACGCGTAGAGAAGTTCGCTTGCCATTATTTTTTCATCTCGCTATTATTATTTATCTTATTGTGTGCTCTAGTTTCAAGTCTCCTCTGGTTGGGTTTCACTTCTGTATGCGTGTTGGAAAAGAAGATTCATACATATATAGCAGCACATTTAGAAAGGATTCTGTGGTTTTTTCAATTTGGCCGCTTATTTCATACTTGAATGACTTCAAGCTCAGAATTTCATGATAGTTTTGTTTGACCAGACTTGTAATTCAAAAGTTGCCATAAAACAACTCAAAAGGAAAAACTTCCCATACAATTATATTCGGTTCCTTGGGCTTGAAAGACGCCATTTCAGCAATGCATAATGACATAATATGCATTAGGCCATCGATGAGTTTTTATAACCTTAGAATTTACGCAAAAGCCATCTTCAAGCCCATATGGGATTTCCCCTTTAGCACCTTCGACAGCTTGTGTCGCTGGTCTAAATTTTTCTCTTCGCCCACGATTTGCGCAAAAGCCAGCTTTAGCCTCAATCTTCTGTGCTCTTACTCTTTCGAAGTATCAAGTGGCAACTTTGCTTGCTTTTTGCAGAAGTTCAATGATCTCCTGACTGCAAACCCTAGACCATTCCAACTTCCAAATGGCTTTTGCCTTTCATTCTCTGTACCCCGACTTGGCTCCACCCTTGTGTTTTCTCAATCCACGTTGCAATCTATGTCCATATGTGTGCTTAATTAGATCTTATTTAGAACTACATCATCTCTGTCAAGTTTAACTAACAGCACGTCAAAGACTTTTTAAACGGAAGGACTAACGCAATTAACTGAGCAAACAATAAACCCTTGATAAAAAGGGAAAAAAAACTCTAAGGACCTAATAAAAAACTAAGATAAACTATAAGGATCTCCATATTAGTTTTTCCTAATTAATAATCATCAAACTTCGTACCTCTTGGTCTAGACTCTTCGGCTCGACTAGAAGGACAAGTGGATTGTAGATTGCCTTTTTTTTTTTTGCCATTGTAGATTTTATTACTACATTCCATGAGAGATAGGTTTTTTTCACTAGGCATATGTATCAAGCAATCCTATTACGCCTCTTCAAGCGAGATTTTGAGTTTTGATTCGTCATGTTGTGAAGGACTATCCTTTTTGTTACACCCAACCTCCTTTAATTATCTAAGAATGTCGAAGTTTAGAAATCCTAGCCCTACCTAATATGGTATCACATCACCTACGAAGAGTTAGATCAAGCATCCCGTCTTGGCTAGGGTTGAGTCCAAACCCCTCCCTAAAAAGTTTTGTACCAAAAAAAAAGTTTAGAAATGCTACATACTTCCTTTTTATATTTTTTTAACTAAAGACAAAATGACATTCATAATAAAGTATTTATGAGTTGCAAATACTTAACATTCCTTTGTTAGCAAAATTGAAAGTAAAAAACA